GGGCAGGGCGGGTCGCGGACGCAGGGAGGGTCGCGGACGCAGGGAGGGTCGCGGACGCAGGGCGGGTCGTCTGGTTGCAGACTTTAACCTCCATGATTTCCGGGTTTGGGCCATTTCTACACCAGCACAACCTCCGTGCTCAGACAGCGCAGACGCACCTTGCTTAACACACCAGTGTAACTGAGCAAAGATGTCGGACAGGAGAATGCCGTTGAGGTCTTCATAGAATTCGGTGAAGACGTCGCAGATTGCGTAGAGGGCGTGGTTACAGGTCGTCATCATCCATTCAGACTTCTGGAATAGAGAACACGGAAGGAAGGATTACTCCGAAGCACACGGATGTATGGAAAATGATCAGCTTCCATCGGGGCCTCTAGCAGGTGACAGAGCGTCGGGTCAGTCCTGTGATCTCGGAGATTTATTCCGATACCCGCTGCGCTATTTCTTCAATGACTCCGCCCAGAAAAATGTCCGCCAAGCCACCGGAGAGGGCGGGGACACTGGTGTGATGTCATCGCTCACCTCCGTCTGCTGCTCCGGGAGCTTCATATTGTCGAATATCCGGAAGATGATGCGGAAGAGGTCGTGCCACCAATGCGTCTCAAACGTGTGACCGTAACTCTTCATGATCTCGAACATCACCGTCAGGCCTCTGCGGGGAAACCAGCAGCGGAGTCAGTGACATCATCACCGCTCAGGGAGGAAGTGACATCATCACCGCTCAGGGAGGAAATGACATCATCACCGCTCAGGGAGGAAATGACATCATCACCGCTCAGGGAGGAAATGACATCATCGTCACTGGCCAATGATAGGAGAGGGAATCCCTCAGGAGCTCCTCCCCCTCCTCCTCCCCCGGGAACCTCACCTGGTCCGCACATCCAGCTTGCAGCGGTTGATGATACAAGAAAGCTCAAACAGGATGGGGAACCAGCCGCGGACCCAGACCCGGTCCCCAGGGGCCACATTCATGTCATCGCTGGTGTACTCCCTCAGGGCCTGGAAAAGACAGAGGTCATGTGGTCAGTGACAGTTGGTCTATAGAAGCAGAGGAGTGCCCGC